CCTTAAATGGACCAGTAGCAGCACTAGGCTGGGATGAGACACAACACAACCCATAGCCTTGTGACTCTGGGAGGGGCTCCGGTGGCCCAGGTGTGAAGGAATAAGAACAGCACAGGTGTGAGGCAGAGCCAGAACTGAGGCAAGCAGGCACAGAGACCATGGGAAGACCAAGATGCTAGAGGTATAAAACAGAAACAGGAAGACCTAAATACACGTAAGAGTCTCGTCCATGGGGAACACTTACTACCTCTAAGTTGGTTTGTTTTGAATACTTGACTTAAAATTCTGCAAACATCCACACGTAAAAGTCATGCATGGGCAGCCTGCTTTAGTTGGAATTATAAAGTATTCACAAAAGATATTATAGGGGCTGGAGAGCTGGTTTTGTAGTTAAGAACATTTTTATTCTTGGTAAGGACCAGTTCCCAACACCCACCTGATGGCTCACAACCATCCCTGACTCCAGATCCCTGAGCTTTGACACCCTCTTCTGGCCTCTGTGGGAACCAGGCATGCACACACATACACTCAGGCAGAGAATTCACAGAAAATAAAAATTAGTACACCCGCAAATAAAATTTTAAGCTGGTAATTCACAGTGGCTAATAAGATTCCTAAGACTGGGGGCTGGAGAGATGGCTCAGAGGTTAAGAGCACTGACTGCTCTTCCAGAGTTCCTGAGTTCAATTCCCAGCAACCACATGGTGGCTCACAACCATCCCTTATGAGATCTGGCGCCCTCTTCTGGTGTGCAGATATACATGGAAGCAGAATGTTGTATACATAATAAATAAATAAAATCTTAAAAAAAAAAAAAGAGGGGCTGGAGAGATGGCTCAGCAGTTAAGAGCACTGACTGTTCTTCCAGAGGTCCTGAGTTCAATTCCTGGCAACCATATGGTGGCTCCCAACCACCTTGAACGAGATCTGGTGCCCTCTGCGGGCATGCAGGCAGAAGACTGTATACATAATAAATAAATAAAATCTAAAAAAAAAAAAAAGATTCCTAAAGACTACACATCAGTTCAAAGCAGATAATAAAAATAAGTAATCTATTTTGAAAATTCTTTAGAGGCTATAACAAAAGCAAAGATAAATTCTGGGAACAACTTTCTACTAAATTCTACATCAA